TTGTAAGGAAATAAAATATGTAATTAATGTTCTATGCAAAATATTTAGTATATTTCGTATGTTGTTAAATAAAATGATTTAGTAAACTTTTTAAAAAAAAGTACAAGAACTATGCGTTACCTAGTGGTTAATGTTTCGGGCTGCGCCATGTAATATCCGAGGTTCGAGCCGTGATATGCCGTTAAACAAATTTGGGAGACGTTATAACTATGATAGTCAAACCTACTATAAGGTTAAGAGTAGCCCACATGCTGGACGGCTGGTGCTGCTGACTACTTGTTATCCCTCCGGAAAAATTCTAAATTAGGGCTGGTTGTGCCTGATCCTGAATTGCTTGTTTAGCCCATCTGTCACAGAAAATGGCGTTCAGTAAAGTATAATTTAACCTCACCTGATACGAACGCTCACATCATTTCCTGATGAGTAATGAGTCTTCAAAACTTTGTTTCTCTGTATCTGTGTTTCGTTATCAGAACATCTCTTTATAGGAATTAAATGATATCTGAAATAAAGATATGTCGATTATTCAATCGTAATAAGTATTTTTATTGACTCTTTGTAGTCCCCTGATGGGACAGCGATAAGTCTGTGGACTTAAGACGATAAAATCTGGGTTTAGATTCCACGCGGTGGACACAACAGATACCCCAATGTGGCTTTAAAGCAAATAAAACTATTTGCATGTTTGCATTAACGCAAACCTGCACTATGGGCTACCTACGCTGTGTCTGCCGTGGCGATCGAACTCCAATATGCAGCGTTATAAGCCCTCAAGTTTACTCATGAGCCGCTGAAGGACAGTTAGAATTCAGAATTGAACAACAAACTTTAAAGATTGCTGTTACGAACATTTTTTTGAACACATAAATTTTACACACCTCCGGTCTCGGCTTTTGTTTCATTTAAGTGTTTCAAACTACGGATCTTGTTTCTTCTACTATAAGCACGTGTCCATCTATTTAACATCGTCTATAAGAAGTCGAATATTTTATTTGCCATTTTTTTTCCATCATGTGGTATTCGTAACAAAAGTTGTGCTTTTCTTGTATCTTTTTCTAATAGAGTGATGGGGGAATTATTATAATTTCTCAACAAGTTTCTCTCTCTCTCTTTTTGTAAAGTCTAAACAAATGTCAACCACCGTCTTAGGGGCATGTAACTTCAGAATGGCTAAAGGCGTGATTAAGTAACATGAACTTAAAGATAAAAACTCGCCAACTGACACCACGTATTCAACATATATCATTGATTCAAAGGCACATATAACGGATTACATGAACGCAAACATTTAGTCAAAATAAACAAAAACAACCAATCAGATAATGACAAGTCACTACAGGAAACAACAACAACCAATCAGATAATGACACGTCACTCAAGTAAACAACAACAACCAATCAGATAATGACACGTCACTCAAGCAAACAACAACAACCAATCAGATAATGACAAGTCACTTAAGTAAACAACAACAACTAATCACATAATGACAAGTCACCCAAGTAAACAACAACAAACAATCAGATAATGACAAGTCCCTCGACAATGCAACCAGAGAGTAATCCAAATAACACTCCATTTTAAACTAAGCATGAAGCTGTCTATTTATCTCATAATATAAATAATAAATTTACTTCTAGAATTACCAATCGCATCGGCTTTTTAAACACACTTCTTTAAACTGTTTATATGCCAGATTCCTTGATGGTTAATTACTTTCTTGGTTACAAGAACTATAATAATATATGAATCACATAAAAAAGGTAAACAAAGATACCATCAATGTGTCAACTAATTCTCTAATTAATTAATACTCAAAATGATATGATAAGTGGACCCCACCGTTGGTAAACGGTATAAAAAATATGTCGGTATTTTAAGGGTGAAAGAAACTTACTATCTATAGGTTGTCAATCTTAACTCTTTATAAGGAAGCTGTTAGTTAAATTTATTAGAATATCGCAATGAATCTTCAAGATATTTAATAGTGAATATAGATTGTAGAAGACAGGATGCAACAAAAGAGCCTCCCTCAGTGGCACAGCGGAATGTCTGCAGACTTACAACGCTAGAAACCGGGTTTCGATACCCGTGGTGGGCAGAGCACATATAGCCCATTGTGTAGCTTTGTGCTTAACTACAAACAAGCAACAGAAGATAAATTGGATAATATTTTGTTAAGTTTCTACATTTATTCAACATGTACTATGCAATGTTTCTGAACAATAAACAATATTTTTAAAAATTCTCAAAGCTCAGTGTAAGAATTACCAAAGCGTTTAGTTGTAGTGCCCTTATCGATATATAGAGGAATTTAAAAGGAGCACGTGGAATTTATTATTGAGTTGAAAATATTCGTTCTTCATTTCATTATAAACATTGACACAAGACGGCGCCACTGGTAATCCCCTCCTTTCTTTTCTGCTTTCACGGTCTCTTATGTCCCAGTTCACACACTCCAATCTAACCCCTACCATTTTTGATACTTATTATATATTTACGATCATTCTTCAGCGAAACGAAGAAGATAATTTTAACATTGCAGTTCACTCCATGAGTCTGTCCTAAAATAGTATACTAAAACATGCAGGTTATTATACTAAAACAAACAACTGAACAACTTGCAGGTTATTATACTAAAACAAACAACTGAACAACTTGCAGGTTATTATACTAAAACAAACAACTGAACAACATGAAGTTATAATTAGTTCCTTACACTCAACCAAACAATCATTCAGAGATTAATTTTTGTTGCTTTAATGCTAGAATCTCACTTACTTTACAAGCTATTTTAGCGTATGGAAATATCGAACGTTTAATAGACAAATTGACTACAGCTTACTCACCGCACTGTATTTTTAAGGCTCATGATCACATAAAAAAACAAAAAAAAACATAGATGCGATGTTGTTGAATACAATTCACACTTTCAGTTATTGGCGCGTTATAAAAGTGGCAGTGGATCCCATTATTTGATTCAAAGAGCCGGACAACTCCTTTGTGGCCGGTGGTGCTGTTGGTTGGCTGTCTTCCATTTGGTCAATAGTTCAAAGTTAGAGACGGCTACACCCGAATCCTAGAAGGTTCTTACTTGGCTTTGTAGACCAACTGTGAAATTCAGGTTAAAAATTGAAATCCCATATTGCTTAGCCTTCGAAAGCTGTCTTTTTTGTTACAAGATTATATAGTATTCCGGATTACGTCACACCACTGCACCTTGTTGTTTTATATTATTGGGCAGATCTTTTTTTTTTCATATTTACTTTTAGTGCGATTGAAAAATGGTTTGTTTATAGAATGAATTATAAAATATAAAAACTAGTAATATTGCACTACTTATAAATTTATGCTAAGTGTGATATGCGAAAATTGACTGCTGTCTTATACACTAAATATAATATCTCATCTGTCAGCCTGCTATCGCACAGAAAGTAATGGCGGATAATAGCTGAAAACCAGAAACAGGTGTATAACCACAAAAAGACCTACGTCTGCTCAAAAGAATCTTAGAAGCTGAAGATAAGAAAGTAGATTTTTATTGATAAAGTTTGTAGTGTGGACTTAATGTTGTTCACCACTCTGACAACAAGTCTGAAAGTTCGAGTAAGGCCTGCAGCTGTGAATGAATATTATTTAATGTATATTTTATTTTCATATCGGCTAAACAGTCTGTATGAATCGAGCTGCCTTACTGTTGTCTTGTTTACAACACTTTTAGAATTGACAGGAGAACACAAAAAATTGACTTAGACGGTGGTAATACTTAAACAGACGCTTTAATTATTTTTAATGTGTATGCTAAATCAAACAATGATGCAGTTTTTAGGTGATTAATTTATGTGAAATATAAGATACTGTTGAAATAAAATTCCTACAAGACAAAGAAAGCTTTATATCTAAAAATCACGCAAAGCCTGAAAGGTATGAATGTACATTATAGAGATCAGCTTAGTCGCCCAGAGGTTCATGGATGCCTGGGTAAGAATTCCATTCTGGACCCCTTGTTTTAACACCAACTATAGTCTGTATTTGACAATTAGCACGCAGCGATGACGTCATCATAACTTGTGTTGACATTCTTGGGCTTAAAAGAGTAGCCATTTATACTGCTATTAATATCTATGTATCTCTACAATTGTAGAGGTACAACTTACAGAGTTCCCTTTCTTGTGACTCCCGGAGCAAATTGACCCTCCTCCTTAAGAGCAATCCTAGACTGATTTGGGTGTTGTTAAGCACAAAGCTACATAATGGGCTATCTGTGGCATGCCCACCACCAGTATCGAAACCCAAATTTTAGTCTTGGAAGCCTGCAGGCTTTCCGGTGAGCCTCTGGAGGTGAACCAGGAGTTCAGTAATTGTATTTTTCAATTACAGTGTGAGCTCTTTTTTTTAACACATACAGCAGTGTGTGGTTAAACAACCTCTTTTTTTTAAATACATACAGCAGTGTGTGGTTAAACAACAAATTTTTTTTAACACATACAGCAGTGTGTGGTGAAACAACAAATTTTTGAAAACTGGATTACAAATTTTTGAGCAAATGTTATGGTGTGTCCTGAATTATTCACAAGACATATATATTGTTTGGGAGGGATATTTTCTTAAGAAGAAAAACCTCCGGCCATTGAATGTGCATGGAGGTATAGCATGCATGAATCAATAACACTGTGAAGCACTTTGTATGGGACTGATTTTTTTTAATAGAACAATGTTGGATCTACAAATGATATGATGTTGAATAAAATATCAAATAAAAATGACATTTTCTGTGTTCTCCATTCTCCAGGAAACAGTAACTACCGGATGTCACACGAGCTTTTTCAGCCACTTCATTGCACAAAATCAGGGCTACAAAGGCAAAGGACTTTCATCTTGAACGAACCATCCGCACCCTGTCGGCGATGAATGGAGTTGAAAGAGTATAGTTTTCTCTCGGTTCGCACCAGGCGCGTGACGTTTTCTAGGGAAGGGCCTCTAAAATACGTCATTTACAGTGTGCGTCGTATTGAACTCACATGCTGTTGATCAGCTGGCCAACCACGTGGAGCAAGACTCGCGCTCTTTCTCATACACTTGACGAGATTTCTTTAATCTTCACTGAAGCGTGGAACACCAGTCTGATCAGTAGCCACTTACGTAACGAAAGACATAGGTTATACTTCATTCTATTTGCTAGCGTCCACGATAGTTTCAACTTTACTTATTATTAAAAAGCCACTTGAAAAGTTTAGATTTCTGTATTTCTACACTTTTTTTTTACGTGTAAGAAATATATATTTCTTTTTAATCAGTCTGATAATACAGGGCTACGTTGTCCTGTGTAATTGGCACACTCCAACCAGTCGATGTACTGAACCAACTCTATGACTAAAGTGTCAAGTTCATTGCGAGTCATCTTGAATGTCTTGATGTCGCTCAATCTCACACTAACTCTTCTTCTGACGAATCAATAAAGCATTACGTCAACACCAAAACCATGGAAAAACTCTTATGTTGTGACAAGAAGGTGGATAAAAACACCTGTGTCTCCTCTCCAGAACCTCTTCTAAACAGCAGAAGAGTACTCCAGAACTTATTACAGTTAGAAGACAGATATTACCTGGCTTCGTCATATTTTGTTTGTCTTCAATCGGACATTAAGCCTTACATGAGAGAAAAAGTGACTGAATGGATGTGGGAGGTAAGATATCTGTCTTGAAATTTGAATGAATACATCAATCTTGTTCTATAGTTAGGAACGTGAAGGCATTTAATAAAATAGAACCTTAATATCATCAAGCATAGGATTCATATGAGTAATGTCTTTGTATTCTCAGTTTAGCCTAATCCCATAACTTTCCATTTTCATACCCCTTGGCTTTGTGGGAAAATAACTTCATCTTTGTTGTCAGGCTCTTTCTCAGAGGTTCAGAGAGGCCCGGGCCACTTCTATATTTTGAGGCCCCTGGCTATAATAAAATCAATATATGATACATGAAAACAAAATAAGACAATCATTAGCCCAAAAGAAAAGTGACACATAATTTGAACATTTAATTTGTAACTATTTGTAATTTGCAGCTCTAAACTGAGAATATGTGTTACATTTTGGTCTGATTGGAAGAGACATAAAAACAAGTCGCGAAACTTAACAAGTGAAAAAAAAACAACAAAAAATGTCTAAATTTGAGGACCCCCCCGTAATTGACCCTATCTGTTGTTGATGCTAATAATGTCGCATGACCGAATACGATACGACGTAATCTGGAATTAGCACAACATTTATTTGGAATTTAATAAGCTTTTGTTTCATTTGAAGACTAGTTAGACCCCCAGTATACACCCTATATACAATGGTGACAATTTCATTTTACTTTAATCTCCTGGTAGGTTAACAGTAAGCGTACAGACTTACAGTGTTAAAATCCAGGGCTCATTTCCCCGCGGTAGACATACCACTAAAAAAACAATAAATAAAAATATAGTTACGTGAATTTTGGTATACGTTCGAGCGGGATTTGAACCCTAATTTTGTTTCTTCGTTTCACACAGGACTTAGGATTTGTTTGTTTGTAATTAAGCACAAAGCTACACAATGGACTACCTGTGCTCTGCCCACCACGGGTATCGAAACCCGGATTCTAGCGTTGTAAGTCCGCAGACATACCGCTGTGCCACTGGGGGGGGGGGCAGGACTTAGGAATACGTTATCGTTGTGAATATAAAACAACCACATGTGTGTGTGTGTGTGAAGAGTTACTGTCGTCCTGAGATCTACTGATGCATGTAGTATTGATCTTTTTTTCTAGGTTTGTGAGGGAGAACATTGCCAACAAGACGTCTTTCCTCTGGCTGTGAACTGCATGGATAGATTTCTCTCAGTCGTAAAACTTAAAAGAAGTCAACTGCAGCTGTTAGGAACTGTTTGTCTTTTCTTAGCTTCCAAGCTTCGTCAAGTAGTCCCTCTTATGGGTAGAAAGCTTTGCCAGTACACTGATAACTCCGTTACACAGGAAGAGCTACTGGTAAGTTTTCAATAATTATTTCTTTTTTTCTTTCATTATCTATATGAGTTTCGTTTTTGTTTGTTTTTTTCCCCCACATATTTGAAACTTTCAACTGTGTTCTCAGGTTCATAATATTTTGAAAACATGGCATTAGAAAATTAGAAGAAGAAAAAGCTTTGTTAGTCTGTAACGATAAAAACTCGTGTAAAAATATAAGCCACAGGAGATTGGTTAACTTAGGCTTAATTAATCATCAAATGTAAGTTGTAGCTTTAGTTGTTGTAATGTATCACATGATATACAGTTTTCATCTCTTTTTCGACAGAATGTCCTCCAAAGATTCAGATTGTTTATGTCACGAAAAAAAAAAGTAACTTACAAGTTCAAAGACCAAATACAAATTTGTGTGAATGTGTGGGGGGAAAATTAGGAAAGTCTTTACTTTGAAAAGCAACTACTTATGTCACTCACAAACGTCAGATCACTTTCTATTCAGTTTCGAGCGAAGCGCAGTGGTTTACGTGCCTAACTACGGATCCATCGTTCGAGTCATGTTACCCACCCCCACTCTGCACTTTAAGGCTGTGGGGGGGATTATAAGGGTGACAATCAAATCCCACTTTTTAGTCAGCCAATAGTAGCCAAAAAGTTGGCAATGAGTGCTAATTACTATCTGTCTTCCCTCAAGTCTATCAGTTCAAAATTAGGGTTAGCTAACGTAGATGGTCTTTTTGGGTAGCATTGCGCAAATACCCGAAAACAAGCAAACAAAATTAAAATGGGAACCATAGAAAATTGACTTATACTAAAAAAGGAGAACAATAGAAATGACATTCATATTAAAAATTGGGGCCCCCCAGTGGCACAGCGGTATGTCTGCGGACTTACAACGCTAGAATCCGGAATTCGATACCCGTGGTGGGCAGAGCACAGATAGCCCATTGTGTAGCTTTGTGCTTAATTACAAAACAAACAAACAAATTAAAAACTGGGACCATAAAAACATTACTTATATTACAGTACAAAGATGACCCATTATGTGTACCGTGTGTGTGTGTGTGTTAGCATCCATCACCCAGAGTTGTCTGGCCCAATTATCGTGGGTTTTAGTAAGACAACTAGAAACTATCCAACAGTGTACGTGAGCTACTTTGTTTTAGGATTTTCACCGAAGAAGAGGATTGAAAAAAAAGTCTGGAATAGGGCACATTTCCACTTTTTCATAGGCTTTTGGCTTGTATCATGGCAACTGGAAACTGAACGACGATGTACATAGGCTATTTGTTTTGTTTGTTATTTTTTCCCGAGAAGGGAAATAGAAAATCCCTGAAATAGAGCAAGGCACACTTCCATTTTTTTTTCTAGACTTTTTACTTTGAACTTAAAGACACGATTACTTACTCAATTAAATGAGTCAATTATTACCTTCCACAAAACAATGTATGCAATTAGCATTTAATGAAGTCTTTAGGAATTGAATAATAGAATAAAGACAGAAAAGGGGAACAATATCCTTTATACAGTTTATCATTCCTTAACGGGTAATCTCAGCTAGTATTAAAGATGGAGATCATATAAACTGATATAACAGACATTAGACAAAAACCATCTGTTGTTTGTTAATTTTTCTTTCACATATTGGAATGAATTCTATGTTGTATTAATTTTGCTAATCGGGACAAACAGTAACGTCGTTGTAACGTTGTCCTGATAGCTCAGACCGCCTAACTTTCTGTTATAAGCTTGTTTGTTTGCTTACTGTTAAGCACAAAGTATGCACATTGCATTATTATCTATACTGTGTCACGGGCCTGGCATGGTCTGGCGGTTAGGGTGCTTGACTTGCAATTTGCAGGTCGCAGATTCGAATCCCGTTACCGAACATACTTGCCCTTTCAGCCGTAGGGGGATTTATAATGTGACGAACAATCCCACTTTACGTTGTTAAAAGAGTAGCCCAAGAGTTGGCGGTAGATGTTGTTGAGTAGTCATCTTCCCTCTAGTCTTTCACAAAATTCAACGAACAAACTGTACTGTGCCCACCGTAAGGATCGAACCCCGAAATTTAGTGTTATAATCCGTGAAGTTTACCGCTAAACCACCAGTGGGCCTACTGTAAAATCTCGCTACAGTAGACCTAGCAGGCATTGAAATGCAACAGAAAATTTTAATTTTTTACATTTTATTAAAAAAATATTTATTTCGTGTTCACAATCCGTTGTGTAATAACGGACCAGTAAGCTCTTTTTTTCGCACACCTTACAAAATATTGTAGGTACCTTTTTTTTTAAATACTTAGTAGACCAAATAATCAATTACCTCTATAGAAGATTAACACATAAAAAAAAACAACACCCGATGATACGTAAGCCTAATAAATAGACTAATTTTCACAGCTTTTCATTTCATTTTGAAGCTGTCAAACATTAGCTTCTGAAATTAGGTTGTTATACTAGCTCTATTAGACAAATACTTGCTACACTATCTCGTTCGCGTGCAGCAAGTGCTAAAACATCAGGCGTATTAGAAAGTTCGCTCATTATTAGTGTTAAAAACGCACAGTAAGAGACGTAATGATATAATTTCAACACATTAAGAGACGTAATGATATAATTTTAACACA